TGATCCGCCCTAATTGAAGTTATGTAAAACTTAGTGGGTGTAAGCCACACATGTGCCTTCCAAAGGCACTGCCTGGGTTGCACTCCTGACAGTTAGCTTGGCTGCCAGCATTCTTCCTCCTCCCACGTACCTGTTCTAGTAAAGCTCTGTTAAAGAAAAATGACTTCACATCATGGGGTGGGGCACAACACACATACCGTGCAACGACCTAAGGTGCCTCAAGCAATCAAGGCGTCCATCCAGCTGCAGTCAAAACGTGTTCGTTTTGGTGCTTTTTTGGGGTCATCAACATAGTATGCAAACATTGTGCGCTGTCTGAAGTGGAAAAGAATGTGATCACAGCATTTTGAACTAGATGAGAGTCTAGAATTAGGGTCCCTTTCAGACAGTGCGACCATTGTGTCGGTGGTCCATAAGCAAGCCTGAGAACTGGGTTGCTGAATGAAGAGCAGTGGCATGCAGAGGCACAGACAAGCTCTGACCAGCCCAGCACTGGAATCAGAAGCAATGCAGACACGTAACTTGAGCTGTGCTCTGGGGCTGCCTGTTGGGGAGCAGCAAGGGCAAGAGTTGCTCTCAAGGGGAAAGTGAGACAGGGGCTAAGGGTGACAGAAAGGCAAGAAGGTCATCTTACTAACAAAGCGCTGCCCCACAGTGCACAAAAAGGGCAAGCAAGGCAGGGCAACAGTCCAGGTCATCAGACAAGGCTGTGATGATGAGTCAGGTTTAGGGTCAAACCAGGAAGCCAAGTCTAAGTTAGGCTCAACAAGGGTACGTGGCCCAACACAAGTGTGGCTGCAACACAGCTCAGGTAGGGACCAAGAGCAAGAGCCTCAGCTTAAATGAAACTCCGAAGAGATAGTGGCAGGGTGGGAAGCAACTGGCTTCCTCCAGCTTTTGTTGAGCTGCAAGGCCAGCAAACATTGAGGCCACATGCCACTGGAGGCCAGAAGTGCCTCAGGGCTATCATTGTCTATGTTGCATGATCCAATTAAGCAGTCAAACCCCCAGGAAAGAGGAGAATGCACCGAGGGCACTGACACTATGCCAGCTGACTTGGCTAAGAAGTGGTGGTGTACTCTGTCATGTCAAAATACCAGGCTGCTTTGTTATGGTGGAATTGCAGCAACCATTGTAGCAGACATGAAGTCAGATAAAACTGGATTCAACTCCTTGCTCCACTGAATGGTGGAGGAAGATCCCAAAGGAGAAAAAGCACTAGCTATGTTGTCCTCTTTGTTCTGTGTAGATTACTGCCCGTCTTTCAAAGTCCCACCAGCTGCAGCTTCATGACTTTGTCCTAAGTAATGGCAACTCTTACCAGAGATTATTACCTTTGGAAAAACTCCCAAGAATATGGGTTGACTGGTGATGGTATAAAACAATCCTTGCTACTCAGAATTGCTGCCAGTGTACCTACTCCAGCCCATCAAGCAAGAGCTGGAGGGTGCTAGCTACCTGCTGAGGAGGTGCCTGGTAAGGAGACAGTATTTGAGTCTCTATGTTTTAGTAGGACTGACAGAGTTACTGTTGGGAAGGATGGATAGCTGTCAGGAAAGGACAAGGTTCTAGTGACTGTGCTTCCCATTTTACACTGTTTTGGCAGAGCACTGCATGACTACTGAGTATGTTACAAGCCTTCTGGAACCATCTTTCAGACAACCAGCAAGACAGTTTGCCTACAGCTTATAAGATCCAGATTTCAGTGCCAGCAACCAGTGAGAAACGGAAATATTTGGTGCATGTCACTGAACTTCGTGACTCAGTTGTCACTCTAAACAAAGTAAGACCTGCAATACGTGCTCTTATGGAAGCACTTTGACCTTCCCGCATGATAGGCACTGTATCATCATTCTCAGATTCTGTAGTAAGTACCTATCTCTGGAACCAGACACAGGGCAAAACACCAAAGCACATCAAACAGCCAGGAGCACAAGGAGTCACAAGTACCAACCACGGACCACCCCTCGCACCGACTGGAAAAACCAAGCCAGAAGCGGGTGACCGCATCACACCACAGCGGGTCCTCCAGCTAAGCCTGGCTGTGTTCACTGCTAGGGTTTTAGGGGAGCTGCCTTCCTCTTGTTGCACATGCCAACACTAGTTCTTTCCACATTTCAGGCTAACCTGTCTCAGGACTACTGCTCCAACCTCACTCACTGGCACACTCACACTGCACACTCTGCTGCCTTTGTCATGCACCTGTGGAAGGCTAGGTTGCACATATGTGTTAACTCCTTCCTTCTTTTGTGGACCTGCTTTTTGTGGACCTTTTAACTTTTGTGACCATATAGATACAACAGTTTCATGATACCAGGGAGGTGAATTTCCTGTGGGTACAAATGAGTTTTCTGTTTTTCTTTTATTTAAAAGCAAGATTTTTATCTATAGACGTCAGACAGAGAAAATGTTGATTATTTCAAGTTGAATTTTCCAAGAGTGGTTCACTTGGGTGAGGAATCCCAAGTACATTGATTTCCAGGATTTATTTTACAACATTCTCTGAATCAGAAATTACTGTTCATACTGAAGACACTATGTGATGACAGTTGTTGGTACTAAGACAACAGGAGAACAAATTATACACATGTTTAAGGATGCTCAGCTACAGAGTTTAGTTGGAGAAGGATGCAAGTATCTGGGAATACCTCTGGGCTTTACTACTTCTTTCCCATAATTCTGAAAGGAAAAGCCCCAAGCTTTTCCAAAGCTGGGAGCTGGGTAAGTGATAGTACCTTCCTCCACACTCTCCCACTTTGGCCTCTTGAACAGGAGAGGACTTGTGACAAAAAGTAGCACAGGATGGGGAAAGACATACTGAAGAAACACACCATATATCTGCTTCAGTGCAAGCAGCAAAGACTTAAGTCAGCTATTTCATTCATGTTCAGACTCTGCTTCAGATGGATGGCATGATCCCTCACTTTGCCAGGCATTTACATATTCTTAAAAATTGTACTAATTTTCATATTTACAAACAGAAAACTCATTTGTACCCACAGGAAATTCACCTCCCTGGTATCATGAAACTGTTGTATCTATATGGTCACAAAAGTTAAAAGTTGCATGTTATTTACTTACCACATTTGTGCATTCCGTGAACAGTGACTTTAATTCTCATGCAAGTACAAAATTTATTGAGAATGACATAGATTCTCAATAAAAGGCTTTGGACTAGATGCAGTCCTCCACTTCCCCAGCCAGAGAAGCAAAACACCACAAAGAGGAGTGCATTGCTGGAGCCATGTGGAATATACTTCACCCTTATCAACACTGGCAGATGCAGGTCCCAAGCCCACAACTGGATCCTTATCAATTTTAGAAGAGTCTGAGGACTAAACAGTGGTCGCTGATGGTACTGCACTTTCAGGGAAAGTCTCATCTTACATGGTTCTGAACTCTCACGCCACCAGCTATGTTTTTGGTTTTAAATTTTTAAAAACGTACAAACATAGATGTAAGGATAGATTCTTATCATTTTTATTGCTCTTGTTAAAAAGTCAGTGTGTGTATTATGGCACTATGCTGTAAAAACACAACATCACTGAAAGTTCTAAAAGTATGAGGTCCATTATGACAAGATTTTAAACATGAAGCACGAGCTTCAGTAGGGATTTCCAAATTAAAAACAACAAGCCTAACAGGTAGGTGGATTAATAGTAACTGATTTACCTGGAGTTTCAATACCGAAGTGAATACAAAGTAGATTTGCAAGAACCAGACATATTTAAGAAACGCCAGAGACAAACAAAGGTTCTAGAAATTGAAAAGTAAATTCTCTTTTCTCTTTGACTTAGGAATATTTGTTCTGCATGGTAGCTGAATGTTACAACCCTCCTGTTAAACTACAAGCACAATGTGTCAGGGGAATTTGCATGAGAGGAGGAGAAAGCAACCCAAAACCTTTCCTACATTCCCAGTCAAGAAAAAAAACCTGTGTGCTTTGAAATTTTAAAAATAAGCAAATCAATTTAAGAAAAAAAGAAAACACATCTCCTGGGTGAATCTTCACCATAACAAAACACCGATGCCCATTAACTCTGTGCCTGGGGACTGAACAAAGCTATGGCACTATTCCTAATTCTGAAGCAAACCCAAGCAACTGGACATCCACAGATATTATTGCACTTGTAGCAGTGGTGCTTTAACTGGCCTGAAAACTACTGGAAAGTGAGAATTTTTTTTTTAAAACATGAGTAATCTTACTCAGAAAGTTCCATTGTAAAAAGAGCGGTGTCCTAATCCAAACTGCTGTACCCCTTATAAAACAGTTAAGTGTATCTGGCACAACATGAAGCTCTTGAAATGCCTCCACTACTTCAGAAAGAATCTTAAAGAATAACATTCCCCAGAGGATGGGAGGGCACCGATCACCAAATAAAGGGGGGGAAAAAAATGACAGCAGGCAGGCATCAGTTTCCCAGCAGAAGGATGTCCCACATGACACAGCAGATCAGAAATAAATAAGATGAAACTTGAAAGGTCTGATTATAGATCCTTGGATGATATTGCAAGAGTCACAGGCTTCACCAAATCAATGTCAGTGTATTTTGTTAAGCATGACACAGTTACTATATACAGTATGTTTATCAGACAATGGCAACTAATAATACACTACATTAATGGTTGTTAAAACAAAAAAGTACTAAACCAATGTACTTATAAAAACAGATGGCAACCCCCCAACTATGGTAGTTACATATGATGAAGTCCAGCTCCCTGGAGTCAAACAGATTGACACCTTCAAGCGTTAGGAAGCAGTTTTCTGAAGCGTAAACAACGTAATTAACAGAACCCAGTCATGCTGTAGAGGAATTCTACTGACAAAACCATCTCCAGTCCAATCACAAAACCCTCAGTAAATGTGACCACCACACAGCTGCAGCGGGGCAGCCATCCTTTCAGGGGTTTATTCTGGGTCTTTCTTTGAAGGACCTTCTATAGAACGTGCTATTTAACATGGTGATGATCTACACAAACAAAATATGTGATGAACACAAAGCACTTAGGTTTAGAAGCACTTATGGAAGAATCCAAGACATCTTTACAGTGCATTGTGTATGACTGCACGCACTATTGAGTCTCTGCTGCTTATTATTATGTGGCATCTTACTGTTCATAGTATTCCTATGTGCTAAGAAGAAAGAGCCTTCTCCCCGAGCAACCAGCTTCTCTGGAAGCCAGCATGCCTGCACCTTGCTTTGCTACAGTAAGGCATGTGCAATGAAGGTGGCAGTGTCAGACCCCCACGGACCACGACGGAAAGACCCAGTTCTTCCCTTTGTGTCTCCCTCAGTTTCTCTGCTCTGCTACAAGGGCCAGAGTCAGTCAGCATCCATGTGCTCCTGTCTCATAAGCAGAGGCTTCCCATCTGTATCACCAATCTTTTTCTGCATCTCTTCCACTACTTTCTGCAACGCTGCTCGCTCCTGCTCAAGAGTGAGAATGGACTCCTTCAGTTTGCCTTCATTGGTCAGTAAAAGCTCCACTGTAGCTTCAAGGTTTTGGATCTTTCCATTAGCCACCTTTCAAAGGAAGAAGAAAAGGGGAGGGGGAGGAAGGAGGAGAAGAAAATAAAAAAGGAATTTCATTAATAACTGAAAACAACTTTAAACTTGAGATACATTATACAGATAAAATACTTTCCAAATAAGGAAAAATTGTGACGGCAAAAGCGAGTATGAATGTTATCAGCTCTGTGTACTTCAGACTACAAATATGGTTTTGCCTGTAACAAGAAACTTCCCTCTCTCAATTCGATTGCTTTGATTAATTCACAATTAAACTTAGATGTAATTAAACTTATAATGTAAAACAATGAAATTAGAAAGTTACTGAGTCTGCAAATTATATACCAAAGAATTGTAGGTTAAGATAAGCCTCTGTACAGGACAGCTGTGAGACAGTTTTGCCCAGCCATATTTGTTGAATTCCATGTGCTCCGCAAAGCAAAGACAACTTGTTAGCTGTATCCTCATTTCATCTTGACACCGAGTCCAACAAGTGCCAGTGCTGCAGGCAAAGGGGGAGGGGATTCAGCACATTATGCAAATGGACAATATGTCTTGAACAACTGAAGAAAATCCTCCTTTGAAAGGCTGCACATATGGGTGTTTCTACTTCATGCCGAAACAAAGTGTTAGATCATTCAAAGCCATCTCATGACATCTGTAGCTGAGGTACTTCGGCACAAGCAGAGACACATTGCAAAATTTCAGCACTGGATAACATTTGGGGAAGAGCACTGCATGGTCTTGGCTTTCAGGGAAGTATTTGCCTTCCTGATGAACACCCTGCTCTTCACAAAATCATGGTGTTCAGTCTTTGGGGGCAAAATATTGACAAACCGTGACCCACACTGGTGATGCATCTTCATCCTGTCAGCAATGGGTCACCCTTCCCCATTGGAAACAGAGGCTGGAGATGCCCACCTCCAAGACAAAGGGATTGCTCCCACGCTACAGACAGTTAAGCTCCCCACTATGATGTTAGGTGCTGACTTTCCAGTACTCAGGTGGAGGTGAGCTTTGCAAAAAACTGCTTAGAGCTACAAAATCTTTAAGGGCAGGACAGTATGGAAGATCTCCTGATGCAGGTCTCTGTAAGACATCACATCTTTAATCTCACCCCAGAAATCACTCTCTCCCATGTTCCATTTCCATTCAACAATTTCCTTGCTCATGTGCTTGGAGCTTTATGAAAATATCTTGCAGAGGAGTATCTCTTCCTTTGACTTCTCCAAGTGTCCTGGTTTGAGTTAGAACGGAACTAACTCTGCTCAGTGATTTTACTTTTCACCTCAGTGTCTTCCAAGTAACTGTGCTTTCTGAAGTTAATGACATTTTTTTGCAGACAGTGTCTGCTTCTAGCAATGACAACGCTCAATGTTTAGTTACTACCAAGGACTGGTATGCTGAAATGCTCTTGCTTATGCTCCTGTGCAGACCAAGGTCACTTGGTCTTCTAGCAGCCGGCCCAGCCCTAACCCTTGACACCAAGGCTCATCTTAGCACCTGAAACGGGTTCAGATCTCACAGGATTAGAACTTACAGCTTAAGCAAATTTTGTTAGAGAGGCAGTCTTAAGTCTGTGTGGTTGGCTAGCTTTAATCATGATACAGGACTAATGGCTGAGGAACCTTTCTTCCTGAGGAACTCCTTCCTGCACCCATTACGTTACAAAGTCTATGTTTTTAACAATAATCAAGACACTTCAGATGTCTGCTTCTTACCCTTGAAGTCCTGTTCTCCATCAAACTAAATGCATGGTCAAATTTTTTATAAAGCAGCCAGGAATCTGACTTCTTGAGCAGTTAAAAGAATAACCCCTAAGAAATCAGGTGTACTGCCTGTGAAAAAGCTGTAGACTGAGCAGGCACCAAGTATATATTAGAAATTATTATTTCATGTATTGTCTAAACAATCTGGATAACAGTTTAAAAAAAAAAACCTGTAAGGAAGAGCATGCCTTCATAGACAATGTATCCCATATCTGATGTGTCTCTAAATGATAACACTGGCATTAGTTCTCTCTCATTTGTGATAGACTAGTAGCAGTGCTGTAACAAAGAGGTGACTGAAAAAGTAAAAACGAAATTGAGATAGCACTTTGTGTATTTTTAGTCATCTTCTACAGCTATGATTTTAATTACAAGGGAAGAGACAGTGTGGTGAATCAAATTTCACTTATTGCAAGCACATGCTCTAACCAGCTCCCTCAGAATTTCTTCTGCATTTAAAACTTTAAAGACCAAGTTAAACAGAATTTCAAGTGGCTACACTTTAATGACACTAGACTGAACGCCAGCCTCTCCTGTGCTTGGTGTAGGACAGTCTCTTATGAAAAGGTGGATAAATTTCAATGTTAATTAAATATGAAATATAAATTTTACCTGCAGTTCTTCCAGAAGATCAAAGTTCTGTTTGCGCAAGCTACTGTTTGCCTTTTCTAATTTATCCAGTCTCTGATTGTCGTTTAAAGATGAATCTATAAGTTCATCCTGAAGCACATGGTATTCAACTTCATAAGCTTGCAGCTGCTTGGCAATATCCATTTCAAATACCTGTTGTATATAAAAGCATTATTCGGTGCTGTGCAGACAGAAAACATAGCTCATTCAGTGCTTTAAAATCTATGGACCTAGACTTTGATATCTCATCACTGCACACCACAAAAGGACTTAATTTTTGACATTCACATCACCTACTCTGGAAATTGCAAGACTGAGGCAGCAGAGTGCAATACATTAGCGTTGGATCTACTTAAAAACTCTGCTACTGATTTGTTGCCTGATTTCAGTGAAATTTCTTACACTGAAGTTTTCAAAAAGTGTAGACTTTGTAGGGTATTCCCCTTTTTAGATTTAAAGTTTAATGCATCTCAGTTTTGCATGAACCCTCCTAGACATACTCAGAATTAGATGTCAGCTTTAGAAAAGCATAGTCCAAGTTCATGTGCCATTTATGTAAGTGTAAGGCTAAGTAGAAGGAAAGCTTTAAATGAAAATCAGTAAATATTGCTAGGTTTATTTATGAATCTGTGGGACTCCTAGAGACCGAAAGAAAATTGAATAATCTATCCTTACACTAATAAGCTTAATGAAAGCATTACATAATGGCAAAGCAGATTTCTATTATTGTTAACTATGAAACACCAAAATGACTGCTCAGCCATACAAATGAATATTAAGAAAATCTTTTATGTTAAAAGCAGATAAATAGAGGTGCACAGAGAGACCCAGAGGAAAAAAACTGCTATTGTGTTTTCCTTTTTCTAGGGTTGGGCAAACACCTGCCTTCAAATTATTCAGGAAATAGGACTCTAATGTCCCTGAGCTAGTTATCTTCACTGAAAGCACTGAAGGAGGTGGTAAACTAAAAGGCCAAGTGTGCCAGTCACAGAACACAGTAGACACAAAGGCTGATTTAAAAATGCATCTGGAAAATAGCCCAAGAAGAGGAGTTCAAGGGTTATTTATTTCTAAACCTCTTGTATCTTACTCCTTTGGGAAATAAATCAAATATGAAATCCTACCTTAAATACCTGTTTTTTCCTGTCTGATGTTTTGAACTTTAAGTGTTGGCTATAGTTAAAGAAAGCATCAGTTTGTGAAATGTTTCTGACACCTGTTACGTATGTTATAAAAATTCTCTCATAGTCGTATAGCAGCAGAAACATACTGTGCACATCAGTGCAGAAGCCTGAGTTACAATTCTGAGTTAGGTAACACACATGGAACTTCCATTTTCTGTAGATCTGAGCATCTCTGGAGAACACACACTGTTGAAAAGTTCCATTTAAAAATTGGTGCAATTCAGCATGGCCAAATGATAGTTCCTCTCATGACCTCTGCCACTTCTAGGCTCTGTGGGAAGGGAGGGAAACCCCTGCTGTCATACTCAGAGTATCAGATCTGAAAGGGGGTAAACATGAGGCAAATCAAAAGCATGACTTGAAAACTATCTAACTGCAGATGAGCTGGGACATGCAAAGCAAAGGCCACGCTGCAGAACGCCTGAGGAGGATGGGGATTAGCCCAGGAGCAGCCTGTGGACTGCAGGGCTAGTCCAACAGCCACTGGCTTCAAAGGTAGCCCTGAGCAAAGCAGGGGAACTGCACTCTTCAACTCACTGCTACCTGCACACTTTAAATGTAGTGCAGTCAGAGCAGCCTAAACAGAGTATCTCTCCCTCCTTCTGCTCAAAGCCAGTGGTTTTCTGCAGGTCACCTAAGCACTGCAAGTCAGTGCAGAGCTGTGCACCCCAGGCTTCAGATAACCTACAATCCCCTCTGTTCCCTAAAAAAATCACTTGCTTTCCTTCCCCGTGCACAGGCTTTCTAGTTCTCTCCCCCTCCCTTTGACAGTAAGCAGTTCAAGCAATTTTTCTAATCCTAATTTGAGCACGTCCCCTGGAAGCTGTGCTTCCTGCAGCCCGTGGTGAGTGGCAGGCATCTGTGGCTCTGCACAGGACACCCTCCATGCTTTAGTCCACAAAAGGCCTTCAGAAAAACAGGCTAAAACCTGTCTTCTATTTCCCTGCTGCAGATTAGATGTTCAGTGTAACAGTTAGGGTTTCTAAACAGGCAAACCTTATTGCAATAATTTGTGATTTCCCCCCACCCCCCCAAATTCCATAGTTAACATCTGGAGCCTTCTGCTTGCTGAGCCATGCTGCATCACTTTCCTTGTCTGCTGTTTAAAAAAATTATATCCAGGATTCCTAGTTTTTGCTGTCTAGAGTCAGTGCCCCCTGCAAGAGGCTGCACTGCCCCATGTACTTCTGGCAGAAATACAAAGGTGCTGTTGTAACATACTGAACCAGTACAGACAAAGTCAACATGGGAGGCTTCTAATTTCATTACGTAAGGTCAACGTCCGTGAGGCTCTTGTAAGTCAATTTTTACTTCTGAAATGAAACTTGGAGAGAAAGACCAAGATTTTTTGGAGACAGGAAACCTCAGAAGGCTTTTGGCCCACCTTGCTACCTTTTTTTTTGGAATGCACTGCATATGGGCTGTGATATTGCTGTCAGTAACAGTGTTACACACTTCAAATAAAAAAGTAAGCTCCTTTTCATTAAAGGCTTCACAACGCGACCAGAACCAACATGTAGATGTATAATTATAGAAGTACTATACAAGTCATATGCTTCCAAAAGTTTTCAACATCTTCAGAACTACAATAACAATTCTCAGCTTGAAGTAACACAGTACACTGTTGTGGTTTTTCTGTCAAGAACTGGTTAAAAAGTGCACTCCTTTGGTACTATTCATGCTTAAATTATTCCATACCTGACTAATGGTCTTTTCCATCTGTACCAAACCCAGGTTGGGTAGAGTGCTTTTAATAAAATCAACAATAGTTTCTAGGTTCTCATGCTGCAGAATCAAGGGCTTGTGGCTTCCCAAAAGGCTTAAAGCCACTTTAAATATAGCCTCTGATCCTTGAAGAAAGAGCATATCTGTGAAAGCAAAGGGAAGAAAAAACAGTACATCAAGTAAGCACATCTTTTGAGTATTAAAACAGTATTATTTATAATTTAAAATACCAGTAAAATTTAAGATTCCTAATACAACAGGCCAAAACTAAACCTGAAGACTCAACTGAAGATCAGATCTGTTCTCTTCTCATCTAGCAGAGTTACAAAATCTCAGTTGATACAACATTAAGCACATGAGGCTAAATACACACTTTTCAGCAGCCTCAAGTTTTATTTGCATGTGTTTATTTTTAGTGTATGTCTCAGCCACTTATGTTAATATTCTAATAAGTACATTAATAAGTACCCGTAAATCTTAGTAAAACAGCTTAAGCACTGCAGGTGGCCCTGCAGCAACAGCACCTGGCACACATACCACAGTATATAGTGACCTTTCAATGCAACTTCCTTTCTTGTCACTTCCTTTCTAAATTGCCTATGTCTTTACAAAGGAAAGAAACAGAAGACTGCAATGAAAGCATCAGACAAGAAACCCATCTTCACAAACCCATCTGTCCACAGTATGAACAACTCTGCCCTGCATGTGACTTTCATACTACTATAACTCAGAATCTGCTCCTGGTTTTATTCAGGGGGTTGCTAAAGGCAAAAGCACCCAACAATACTGATGGAGGTGAAAAAGAAGAGAAGATACTGTGGGTTTACTCTATATTTCCTAAATACATTTTTATTTTTAAGGGGCTTCTCTCTTGTCCTTTCCCTTCTTTGTATTTGAAGCTGTGAATGAAGTCACAATCACTAACAAAGTAGCACAATGACACCAAATAGTTTGTCTTAATGATTAAAAAAATTAAAAAAGAAAGAATGGAGAGAGAGGAAAAAGCCCACCACACAGTAAGGGAAACAACTGCTAGCAAAACCACAGCTATCTCGAGTGTTGAAAAGAACCTATGAAAATGCTGGCTAACTGCCTTTCTCAGTAAAAGCAATCTCTCTTTCCAAGTCTGTATCAGAATGAAATTCCCCCTTGTGCTCTTTGCTTGCAACACTGAAGCTGTAACTCATTTCACTTCTCTTTCTCTCTGAGAAAGAAAAGCACAACTAATAGCTAACGATAAATCTTGCACTTTGCTGCCATTTGTCCTAAAAGTGGTGTAAAATTCTTCAACTCTGATTCAGTAGGAAGTCTATAGGCAGGAATGATTGAAAAGTGGTAACAGAACAGGCATCTGCCTCGATTCTCTATTGGAACTGAAAACTATGGGAAAATGCTTCATAGGAAAAACCCTATATTAGGACTGGAAATGATGAAGAACAGCTAGGAAACACAAACTGAAAAAATCAGAGCTGAAAATAATGCATATTTATGATTCAGCACCTGCCCCATAAAGACACGTAGATTAACTCAGGGTGACCTGTAGGTTGTTAATGAATGTTTGTATGAGCTGAGCTGGTAATGTATGGCTGAAACCCCCCTCTCATTTAAACCAGCAAGTACTTGACAAAGACCTGTTTGTTATCCTCTCCCCAGCTTCCCGCTAAGTGGGCTGCCAGCCAACGACAGTACAGTGAAGGTATCCAAATTAATGTCAGCATGACTGGCAGCCCACAGGATTAAAACCCCCAAGTTTTATCTACAATCTTGAAACAAAATAAACACTATTCTACTGAGTCCCCTCTATTAATAAGTAAATAGGGGTATTAAAGAACACATCTTTGTTAATGCTGTACTTTCATTACATCCTGCTCAGGAGAAGTGTTGAAAGCTTGGACAGATAATTAAAAAGTTAAAAGGAGTTTTGCCGTTTGATTCATAAAACAGTCTTTGGGTTAACCTCTTTCTAGCCCACTTCTTTAAGATGCTTGCAAAGAGTACACCCTATGGAAATCTAAAGGAAGTGGTCTGTAACAATTATATCATTAAACAGCAGTGGGGCTTCAAATGTCAAGGGTTCAGAGACAGCGTGTTAGAAAATGGCAGTGTAATTTTAGTGGCAATCGGTCTCAGTAACCCAGCAATGAGTTAATTCTACACAAATAGACAATATTCTTTCATCCCAAGGCTTCTAAAAAGTGAGCAATGGAAATGTATAAATGTCCTGCAACAGTGTGTGACCGAACATGCGGCTGGGAACTGACTGGGTCCTAAATGTGCCATGCTGCTAACAGCAGCCACCAGCAAAGTGACAGCTCCAGCCTTTCTCACGTTTGCAGTTCTGTTTCAGTCTTTAGCATGGGTGATGAGGAGATTTTACTTTCTAATGTAAAAGAATGTCCAATTTTCTTGACTTACACAGTTCCAGTAAAAATTGTTTTAAGGAAATTATTAAATACTTTGAAACACTAACAACTGCAAGTGTTGGTCATGCTAGACTTTATCTCTAAAAAACATCAGAGATTTTAAAGATGTGACAGTTTCAGTCACACATACTTTTATGCTCCTGACCTAAAATGAGCCCTGTGAAGAACATGTATCTATGCCTGCTAAGATAATATGAAATTTGCTTTCCAAAGCCTTACAAACCTGCAATGACAGATAAAATACTAATCTGTGTATTAAAGCTGAAATCCAAATATACTAAATGCATAAGGCACTTTTATACCCTCACTGCAGTCAATCGTCCAATTCAAAGACTCTTCTTATCATGTACAATACTATGAATTATTAAAAATAATTGAAAGATTAATTGATTATAAACTTAATATATGACACTTGCAGATAGCACTTAATTTAATTCCTGTAGATTACTACTGTTTGCTAGATACTATGTCAGTAGTTACTTTGAACTACTCCAGGGAAAAAATATAAATGCTGTTTTCCATGGAGCTAGGATGCTAATGACAGGACATGTTTTATTTAGCTATGGTATCACCCTTTTCACCATGATTCTTACTTTTGGCATGTCCTTAAACAGAAACAGAAGAGGATTCTTGTTGGTCCTTCTTGGAACCTATATTCATTATGTGTTATTGTGGTAGGTAAGACTGTAATTTTTTTAAGTCAGGAAGGTGTCAATACCCTAATAAATAATTGCCTCAGTACATCTCTTTAGTAAGACTAAGGAAAATAGTCTAAAAACGCTTTTCTTTAGAAGAGATGAATCTGGGGGGAAAGCTCCAATCCAACCTGCTCATCATGAATGATCCAGTAGCACATAATGAAACTGAAAAACAACTGAAAAGGAAATAAGACACCTTCCCAAATAAAAAATAATTAATTTATAAGAGATACATTTATAAGATAGCACCAAGAAAAAAATCTTAATTGGAATTTAATCAAAAAAGAGAACTTCTGTAGATTCTAAAAATAGGTAACAGAAGTGACTTTAGAGCCTAAGCCCCATATGCGTCCAAACATTTTTGGAAAGTGAGATTATCAGTCAGACAGGTTGGCTATTGTAAGGATAAGAAACATTAGTTTAAAAGACCTGTTTCTGCAGAGTAAATCCATTATGAAACTACAAGGGCCATCTCTGTGTTTTTTTCAAAGCATAACCCTCAAAATAATTTTCCCCTGACACTGTTGGGGACAATGATAATGGAGTAAACATATATATATATATATGGAGTAAACACACACACATATATATCTATATATATCTATATCTCTGATGATGCCCTTGCTATATCTCTTTTCAACTTGAAAGTAATTGGTGCTCTTAACGTGCCACTGTCATAACATCATGCCTTCATGGCATCAAATTTTACATCCTCTCTCCAAGTTACAGAGTGGGAAAAGGTAATAATGAGGATGAAAATTCAGAAGAGTTTGTGACTGTCCTATGCTTTCATCCTCTTTCCATGTTACCATAACACATGCTCCATAAGGTGACATCTGCTGTTGTTCTGGTTCATAATAGTAAGTAAAATACTTCTGGAGGTCTGAAAAAGGTTGGAAAACAGTGCTGTTCCTAATAACAGAATTCCAAATATAAGACTCCAAAAAGAACAGATATAAATTTTATAAAGAATTACCAAACACTCTGGCTACAAATCCGAGGGGAAACTGGGAGGCAAACATGGTGAGAAACCAGGGAGCAGCATAGAGGCTGGGTCCTATCTCATGTTCCTCTAAGTGATTATAGAGATCTCGGTGGTAGTCATGAAGAAGTCGAGACAGTTGATACATCTGGATCTGCATGGAATAAGAAGAGAGACACTAAAGACAAACATGTTTTAACACACATAGTAGCAAAGTCCATGCTCTTATTAGAAACAGTGAAATATATTTGTCAGTGTATGTTTGGATGAAATTGTGTGAAGAACAGAAACACACATAAGCCACCTAAAAGGCCCAGGATGGGTCACCTCTGAGCCTATAACAGGCTCATTTGCAGGGTCATTTGAACCTTGTACAACACCTAACAGAATTATTCCTATTTATGGTTTTCACAGTTTCCCCACTAGTCTTTCTACTTGAAACCAGTAGATGATGTATTATTTCCCAGATTATCCTTCCCCATTTTTGAGAATTGAATTTAAATCCAAGCCCAGATTTTGACAATGCTATCATACTGATTATGGTTTAACATTAGCATCCTTTTCTTAGAAAAACTGAAATCATACCTGTAAAATTGTCATGTCAGGACGATATTGTTTCCTCAGGCCCATGTCAAACATGAGAAACTTCAGCATTTTAAAAGCATCTTCTTCACCCATGTGAAGTAGTAAAACTCCTGCTACAAAACTAAGGCCCTGGCAATATCCTACTTCCTGGTCTAGAAGTGAATAGGCCTTCAAAATGTTGTAGAGAGAGAGCTGCCCAGCTCCCAGCTGTGCCGAGAAGTATGGATGTGTTGGAAATGTGCGCCCTGTGGAAACAGCTGAAGTCAGCAACTTAAAATAGCAAATATACAACATCTTTACCATGTTATCAAATTAAACACTGATGCAAAAAGGTAGTTTCATTTGGAAGGTAAAAATGAATCGTCAGGGGGATGGGGACAGTCTCTTGTTTGGAACAGTTGAGTAGCTAGTTCTTAAGACCAGCCCTTAATCAGTTTGCTACAGAACTTACAGAGGCTGGTTGCCTGTAACAGTGTGAGACTCAATTCAGTGGCTCAACAAGTCACCCTGTCCTTTTTTCTAGATTAAGAAGTGTAGCATTTAGAAAACTATGAGGACCAGGCACAGGCTTTGAACATCCCACTCTCTGAATTTGGTCCCCTTCCCTTTCTTTTTTTCCAGTAAATATGTCTCGTCGCCTCCCTCCTTGCCTTGGTCCTTCCCAGTCTCACAGGTCCTTCCTTGCCTCCTGCAGCATGAAGCTCAGACTCTTCCATGAGCTGATCCAGCTTACTAGTTTTTCTGCCCTGTTGCTCAGCTGTGTCAGCCTCAGGAGGCATCCCATAAGCACCAGCACAAGTGACAAGTGCTTGGAGAGTGGGAGCCAATTGTCAGAGAAAAACTTTCTCCTGGTAGCAATGAGCTTTGGACCTATCCCCCACATCTCTTTAAATCCCACTCTAAGGTAAACAGTTATACTAATTGTAGAGCTGAACAAGCACAACCAAGACATTTCCAGTCCTTCAGCTCTAGAACAAGATGATGACTTTTGCCTTTGACTGGCTTACCTGTAAACTTTCAGACAGAGAGGAGATCCACATGTCCGTAAATCCAACCAATCCAGCTAGGTAACTTACATAACCAGTTTGACCCACAGTGAGTAAAGAATCAATTTGTCTTTTTTCTGCAGTCCTTACAATATTAAGAACTGTGTAGCTACGATACATGCTACACGCATTACATGAGAGCACAGCTAACAGAGGCAGCCAACAGACACAAAACGTTGTGCAGCCACAGCTCAGGAGCTTCTAACCAACCCCTGCCAGCTGCCCTTGATGACAGGGTCTCTGTAGCCTTTGTTCTACCTGATCCCTGGGGTCAGGGAGGGTGTTGTGTGTGCCAGCAAGCACCACACGGCCTCTCCCTCACTCCTCTCCCTGCAGAGGGATGGGGAGGAGAATCAGGAAAAAAAAAAGTAAAACTTGTGGTTTGAGATATAGAGCAGTTTAATAACCCTAACAACAACAATAATAATGAGTATAGCAAAAAGAGAGAGAAATAAAACCCAGGGAAGACAAGTGATGCACAAGGCAATGCAACTGCTCACCACCCACTGACTGATGCTCAGCCAGTGCCCCAGCACTCACTTGCCCCTCTCAGACAGCTCCCTCTGTCATACACTGAGCATGACACCCTAGGGTATGGATCATCCCTTTGGCTAGTTCAGGTCAGCTGTCCTGGCCACACTCCCTCCAAGCTCCCTGAGCACCTGCTGCTGGCACAGAATGGGAAACTGAAAAATCCTTAACTGAAGATAAGCACTACTTAAAAACAATTACAACTTCACTGTCTTATCAACGTTATTGTCACACTAAATCAAAAACACAGACTGTACCAGCTACTAGGATGAAAATTGACTCTAGTCCAGCTGAAACCAGGACAGAGGGTCATTAACAACCTGAACAATGGGGCAGAGCACACCCTCAGCAAGTTTGCAGATGAGACAAAACTGGGAGGAGTGGTAGTTACACCAGAGGGTTGTCCTGGCATTCAGAGGCACCTTGACAGGCTGGAGAAATGGGCTGACAGGAACTTCAGGAAGTTCAACAAAGGGGAGTGCAAAGATCCTGCACCTGGGGAGGAACAACCCCATGCACCAGTATGCACTGGTGGCCACCCAGCTGGAAAGCAGCTTTGGGGGTCCTGTTGTCCTTAGTTGTCATGTTGAATGTAAGCCAGCAATGTGTCCATGCAGCAAAGAAGGCAAATGGTACCCTGGACTGCACTAGGAGTGCTGCTGGCAGGTCTAGGGAGCTGACCCTTCCCCTCTACTCTGCACTGGAAAGGCCACACCTGGAGTACTGTGTCCAGTTTTGGGCTCCTAGTACAAGGAACATACAGTCCAGCAAAGGGCAACTAAGATGATGAGGGGACTGGAGCATCTCTTGTATGAAGAACGATGAGAGACCTGGGACTGTTCAGCCTGGAGAATAAAAGACTCAGAGGGATCTTTTCAACCTGCACAAACACCCAATGGGTTGGAATGAAGAAGAGTGAGTCAAGCTCTTCTCGGCAGTGCCTGCTGAGAGGACAGGAGGCAATGGGAACAAACTGAAACACAGGAAACTCCATCTAACGTAAGAAAATGTCCTTTTTTCTTTATTGCAAGAGTGGTCAGACAGTGGCACAGGCTGCCAAGATGTTGCAGAGTCTCTGTCTATGGGCATATTCAAAACTTGAGCAAACACGATCCTGGCAAACCTGCTTTAGATGGCCCTGCTTTGGGCAGCAGGGTTGGACTAGAGGATCTTAAAGAGCTCCCTTCCAACCTCAACCACTCTTTGATTATGTGAACAGACACATTAAAGGCTTCACTTCTACAGAATTTTTTTCAAGAACTTCCCCAAAAGAGAATATTTTCATTTCTAGGGAAAAATATCCTCCTCCTATCATATTTCCCTGTGAAATACCTCAATGGAGAAGAAATTTGAATACATCTTTTGTTCTAGCATTAAGTAGAGCTTAGGTTTTGGTTGCCCACTTGTTAAATAGGGCCCCACCCTTGAGCTCCTGGAATGCTGCTGTGCTGCCAGATAACATCAGAGCTCCTGTTTCAGGAATACAAAGCCTCGGGGCAGAGTCCTTCTGCCATCTGGTAGCTGCTCTAGCCTGTCACATGGGACACTGGCACTCAGTTCTCCAACAGGTCTCCCCTGGCCAGCCTGTCACAGGGTTGAACATTACAGAAGAAATATTTCTAGCTTCCAACTGAGAAGAAGCTTGTGTTCCTCTGCAAAGGAATCCCCTGCCTGAACAATAAGTTATTACAGCACACTCTAAAGGCAGACCTGTACTGCCTCACTCATGCAGCAAGGGTCCTTTCATTTAAGTCATGACGAAAAATGAAAAGCTGAGCAAGGACAAAAATGCAAAGAAGTTCTAAAACACAAGAAATGGAGGAGGAGCAGAACTGCTAAACTCACAAACTGATTTGTTTCCAAGTGTGCTGGTGATGATTTAACTAAAAATTTTAGCTTTTACTTAGGAGCAAACAACTCGACCCAGCTGAAAAGACACCCTAAATAAACTGTGATACCTCAAGAGTGTGAGAATGAGAACTTAATTACCTACACTATTTTATTTTTGAAATGTAACAAAACATGATTTCCTACTGTGTTCAACAAACACTCAGTGATGAGTACAGTGGTTTCCCACATTGATACCATCTGGAAATCAGCTTACCTTTCCTTAATGAAAGAAGAAATCATTTACTGAACATGACTTTGCTGTTAAGGACCTGAAATTCCCAGTGACTGCAGCGGTTGTGTAGGTGGGGCCACAAAAGGAATTACACAAAAAACCTTCAGGGAGTTGTGGCTTTGTTCCTACCCAGGTAATGGAAGAGCACTGTAACACAAACTGGGCCAAGAGAGGAGCTGCTGTACCTTACCTCTGCATCCAGGTGCACACTGCTGTCTTCACTCTCAGGAAGCACTATTTACAGCTGAAGATGCATTGATTCAGCCAAAGTGTGGGTGATACTATTATGGCCTTGGCCCATACTGGGTAAGCCAGACCTCTTCAGCTTAATTTGGGAAAGAGTTTTTTTTCATATTATAACCACATGTTTCAAGAACACAGGTTTTTCTGTCAAGGGAGAAGTGCATACTCTCAGAAAGATTCTTAAGGATTTAACAGAAAATGCTTCTGATAGTCTGAAGGAACACAGAAGTCAGAACATGCACAGAGGCAAGAGTCAGTCAATGGAAGACAATGAAACTATCTCACACAAGGGGACTAAAAGTGATAAAGGAAGAGAACCAGGAAAAGAGTTAAGAATGGCATAATTTTTTGAGGCATATGAAGACTGCTCTTTTATAATCATTTGAAGCAATCTATTCTGCTCCTACCCTAAAACAATAATTTAATTCAATTTAGATTTCCTTTCTTGTGTTTCTTTCTAATACTAGAAAAAAATTTTTTGAGCTTTGAAAAATAAATGTGATGGAAAATGGAAAACTCTGCTCAAGAAGACCAAAAGCCTGCACGAAGCCCTTCTACCAGTCACTTCAAACTTAAAAGCCTTGCTTCCTAGCTTGTCTCTACCAAGTTCAGTATAGTACATGTGCCTCCACAGACCAACTCATTGTCCCTAAACCAGAAATCACCTACTGCTTAAAGTTTAGGCAGGGTGAATAACCTGTCTTACCAAGAACCTTTAAAAATCATGATTAAAAGAGATTTCCATAACTGTTTTAATACATGTAAAAAATACCAGCTGCTAGCACCTACCCATTAATAAAAACGAAAAGCAAAAGGCAAAGCTTCCACAGAGAGAGGGAACACTGCACGTAAGGAATGAATAGCATGTGATTCAACAGTCTGCACTTAAATACTGACTTTCTCTCTGGACAATTTGTATTCTCTGTGCCTGTAGAGTTCACTGTCAGTGTCTGAAATACAGACACATTACAGTTATATCTAGCAACCTCTTATCGCCACATGTTGCAAAGGACCTTTGGGCTTGAAATTCAGATTTTGCCTTTTCCTAATGGTGTCAAGCAATAAAGTAATAAATACCAGATTAAAAGCAGTTCTTACCAACAACCTATTATTGAATGGTGAGAGGCTTTTTTTTTTTTTGTGTGTTAGCTTCTTTTATTGCTTAATTTGCTTCCAGAGCTCATAAACCCCTTATTTTAATCTGAGACCTGTACTGTACTTACCTAGGTCAATAAGTATTGCGTGTTGTTGAGAAGTGAGTTGTTTTAAGAGTTCTTTGTAAGGTGTGTCCTTTGGTGGTTGTTTACTTGGAAACTGATGTTTGAGATGGTATTGCTCTGCTAGAAACTTCCAGATCTCCCCACGGTGGTGGCGTGGTACTCCTGAGAGAAGGAATTCATTAGAACAGTAATTTGTACTCATACTGAGGGTTCAGCTATGGTTGAGCTAACAGGATTGAGGAACTGAAGATTCATATCTACTAGACATGCAAGCAGATCCCTATCTGCAATCTCCAGTAGACCATACAAACAGATCAAACTACAGTGCTTATACTTCCTCAACCAATAAAATCATCTTAACAGCAACTTAACAGGAGAGATTTAAGGTAGAAATGGAGTGAGCTGCCTAAGTCCAAGATTACGACTTACATCCAGTCTGCAAAGTACCAGAAGAAGCAGCAAAAATTGCAATACTTATCTCTGAAAAGTTATATGTTTATTTCCCATATTTCCACGTAAAGCACATAATAGAGCACTGCAATAAAACTAATTATTATTTTTCACTAATACAGCACTGAGAGTGATTTAAGGAGTAAGTTTTAGGAAGGTAGGATGCATACATAGTGAAAGTATAAACACACGCATATGTGATCGAAATGAGATGTGATCTAGAGGCTACAACAGACGGCAAATGATCAGAAAGCAAATACTGCATTTCTACTTTTGCTATTGGTTTGCTGAATGACTGGTACACAAAGTTTTAAAGCTTGAATTTCTTGCTCTATAAGGAATGACACTACTTAACTATTTCCCATAGGTAATGGTAGCCTTCACTTGCATTTATATGCAAAGCTCTGAAAGTAACAGAAAGGTTACTGTAATGTGCATACTTTATTCAGCACAAGACTGGTGCTATTAAATCATCTACACAAAAAATCAATAGTCTGTTCTTTAGGAAAGTATTCTGTCTAATCCATGACGTACTGGAAACAGATATTACAGGTTGAAATAATTCATGGCTTAAAGTTTTTTGGACTGCTTTTTTCTTTTGTTATATATGTAATCTGTGGATGACAACAATATCAGGAGACATCAAAACTGACTCAAGCATTCAATTCACATGGAGCAATAAGAAAAGAGCAATTTCACTGCCTTCTCTCATATAAGCACAAAATGATACGAATTTATCTCTAGAATACTTATTTTTACTATACTGTCATAATCCAGAGACAATCGCATGAAAATGAAATGCTAGTAGAAATGTATAATATTTGAATCCACATCACAAAAGCATTTAGAGAAAGTTTTTCCAAATTACTTTAGGGAGCTTAAACCCAATTATTGAAAAGCCTCCAACACAAAACAGTGAGGGAAAGTGCTGTTTCAGACACCGAATGAGCCAGGTTCTCCTCTTCATATACACATCTAAAATCTCACTAGCCTCAATGAGGCTGCATGTGTCAGGGTAGAACTGGCTTAATAGTGCACATTTACAGCTGCAAAATTACAAACTAATAAGATTCCCTTCAAGGAATTTGTCTGATATTAAGTTTATCCCTGTATGGTGCATCGTACATGTAAAATCAAGTGTTTAGTTTATTACTTACTAAATGAATAACATACTATATTTAAGCATCTACTACTGTGTACATTACAGGTCAACACTATATATTTGTTATCCTAATTTATCCATGCTTATCAAAACATGAATTTCTTACCTGTTTGCCTTGCTTACTCAAATTATTTTCAATGTTTTTGGACTAAACTAGAACTTGCTAGACTCACTTTAAATGTGTTTTTCATTTCTGCATATGCATGAAATTGGACATCACTCTAAGAACTCTGACACAACTGGGCTCTAGAGAGCAGAACACAACATCGTCAAGAGCTAGGGATCATTTCCCCATCTACTGGCCACTTGTATGTGCTTCTAATCAGCAATCCACTAAGCAGGGCTTTATTTATTTATTAACTTATTTTGCATCACTCCTAGTTTTTTAAATTTTACTTTGAACTCCAATACAGGCCAGCATCACTGGACTACCAGCAGAAACCATGTTTTTCTCATTCTCAGATATTGACTGGACAGGGCCCTTCACCTACACAAATTGAAGGAAACCTGTGATAATGAGCTTTCCTCACTCTGCAGAGGTTTCTGCTTGGGGCATTTGATATTGTTAGAAATCTAGACTTACCTAGTCACCTTAAATGGACAGTTTGGCTTCACTTGCTTTAACAATTGCATACAGGCAGGTGCAACATTTAAAATATGAAACTTCTGCTAGTGGTGAATTCTTAACAGTTTCTTTACACATTGGAAACCTTTGTGTGAAACTATAAAAAGCTCCTATTGGAGTCGCCATCTTCACCATCAGGTACATACAGCACTTAGCGTAAGGTCTTTGGGCCCAACCACGTCACAAACATTGAGCAATGACCAAATTTCTTAGAACATATTAAAAACATCCTTAAGTTATATTACTTTTGATGCAGTGGAGAGAGGGGATGGTTACTCAGACCTGCAGTTGTGAAGAAGACTGCAAGTGGTGTGTGCAGATACAATGTGCTGTTTAAGTAGGAAAAAAAGCAGTTCTGCAGAGATAAATCCATGTAGACTCTGTGTACACCCACAACACCCAGGCTGGAACACAGAACTGTCAGATTACAGTGTGGATAGTTTCTGCAGTTATTTATATTGTAATTTCTTAGGCATTATCCAGGCTTTTTTCTTTAATGAAAACTTTTAATCTGTAAAAATAGACTGCAACAATTGTAATGTATTGAAGTACTATACAACTCTACCAAGTCCTGGAACTCCAGTAACACAATTCCAGCTACTGAAAGGGACTGTTGCTTGCATATGCATAACCATGGAGGTACTGAACATTGTTATTTGTTCAGTCAGCAACCTGAGGAACTATTCTAGTGAGAATCTGGTTATAAGCATGGTTAAGAGGTCACCCTATTCATTTTCTAATACAACTTGCATGAGTTTCAACAACTGAAAATATTAAACTGTGCTTACCTTGCCCAACAGCGGAGTGTATTTTATCCACGTCAAATTTCATCTTTGACCTTCCAGGTGTATTCAACATTTTTTCCCAAATTAAAGTTACATCTTTTAAGCATGGTGTGATTTCTTCATAGTCAAGTTTCAGACGTCTGTTCTGCAAATTGTTTTCTGAAGCTAGGAAAGGATATCATGAATGCACTAGTTAATACTCTTTACTATTTGTAAAATGGATTAATTTAACTTAGAACTTCATCATGCAATCCACTTAAAATTAAACCCTATTAATTCTAAAACATGACAGGTCTAAATTTCTGTGACTGGGAGGTGGGGGTTTTGTTTGGGTTGGTTGGTTTTAGTGCATATAATAGCTTAAAAAAAAACACACAATCAACTGTGTTTGGTCTGTTAAATTAAGTCACTTACAGCTAAATATGAAGAAACATGAGAGATGATGACTAAGGAAATAAACACAAGATTTTCCTAACAGGATTTCTCAATTCCCAGCTCTTAAAAAAAAACATTAGTGCAGAAGACATACAACAAATAAAAATACAAAACTGTTGTAGTCCTCTATTTCTTATGTATAGAGCTCCATAATAGTGCCAAAAAAAATCACTTCAAAGGTGATCATCCACTTTTCCATTTTCATATACTACATAAAAAGTTCAACAACAGAAAATTTCAGAACCCTGAATGCAAATAGGACTATAAATGCTACATATACATAAAGCTCTCAAAGTCCCCACTGAAGAAATCAGAACAAGGGCCAATGCATAACTCAGTTTTAAATAAACATTTCAGATCATCAGAGCTCCTGCGGCAGAGACGCACTGTAGAATTGGTGATTTTCTCAGATCACAATTTATAAGAATACTGCACTGTACCTTCATGTGTAATCTATAAGGGACTAAAAAAAATAAATCAATAACTGGGAAAGCATCAAAGAACCATGGCAAAAATGAAAACAAATTCTGTAGCTGAGTGTTAATTCCAAAGTTTAGTAGTAGAGTGAGAACTTCAAAGGGACCCCTGGCAAAGCTTTATGATTTGTTTCTGCATTTTTTAGTACTAGAATGTACCTGGAGAAAAGGGTTTATTAATGATATTCATGTAAATGAAATAATAAAGCACCTTTTGGGACAGTGGATGAATTTGTGCAGGTCACAAGACTGAAAAAAAAAGTTGTCTTTCAGCTCAGATGGAGAAAAAAGGTGTGGTGCAGATAAGATAAAAAGATGTCAGATAGCTGTTCCTAAAAGGCATAAAATATTGAAAGAAAATGCTATAAGGAAACAGAGATGAAGCTATAAAGAGAGCACTAAGGAATGACACAGATAGCGGTAAGTCTGTGGAGAATTTAACAAAACAGGTATTCATATTTTTTAACTGGGCTATAATATGGCTGAGGACTCAATGCACCTTGTTCTAGGACATGATGGTCAGCAGCCCTCTACTTGCAAAAGTGAGCAGAGCACAGGATCAAAAGACAAAGGACTGAAAAGGTTCTATAGTATTAAACAAAAATTTAAAAATACTTCTCAATAACACTCATTGAGAAAATTACAAATATCATGACTTCGAAACATGTTTATGAAACACTGTCTCATGAAGTGACCATGATTTTTAATTAGGTTGTGATACTTCACTGTGATGATGCATCACTGTAATGCTAACAAGATGGTCATGTTTTGATGACATTCTGCCATATCATAGAATCATAGAATCATTTA